TTTAAAGCTTCGTAGTCTACTGTGTGAATTTTCAATGATAAAACCACTTTAAAATACCAACCAGAACCATTTCTTTGATAATTTAAAATTCCTTCAAGAATCTCATAAATCATTCCAATCAGTATTTTCTTAACATTTGCTGCTTTAAGATTGATTTAAGTTTGAGATTGAAAATAAGCTTTACCTTGTTTTATCATTGTAATCTTTCGTTCAGTAGTTTACTGCTCCATTAAACAAACCATTATCATTTTAATTTTAATATTCCTAACAAATTCTTTTAATCGTGGAGCTTGTTCCCCAAAGTAATCAATTGGAATAATTTTTAGTTTTCCGTCAATTATATATTTTTCCGCAAAATTATCAAGAGCTGATTTTTCATATTTGATTCCAACTTGATATTCTCTCATTGCTCTTTCAAGAGCTTTTTTTGAGGTAAGCTGGTGTGTCTCTTGGAATCTTCTTATTTTTATACATTCAAGAAAATAATCATCAAATGTTCTTATTTTTTTGGGTTTTTGTTTTGTTTTGGGAGTAGATTTTGCTTTTGTAATGTTTTTCCTTTGTTTTTATATTCCCGTAATTTCATCAATCAGTTTTTTTTTTCTTGTTGCTGTTTATACTCATTAAACTCTTTTTTCAACGTGTTTTTTTAATCCTTTTTTATTTTCTTATAACAAGTTATTTAACTCGATTGAGCTCATGCTTTTATTATATGCTTAGATTATTTTTTGAATATCAATTTTATTTTTTCTAAATCAACCTCCTTATCTAAACTAAAAACTTCGCTTTTAACACCTGCTTTTAATTTACATTACTCAACCAATCAAAATTTTACAAATGCTACTGCTACTTGTCATAAATTAGCAGGGGGGATCGAGGGGAGGTGGAAAACAGAGGAGGATCGCTGATTCTTGAGCCTTTCAAAAGGGAGGGTTATGAAAAAATGACAAGAAAAAAGGGAAGGTGGCAAAAAATTAAGCCACCATGATCATAAAGAAATGCTTTAATATTGTTTTACGAGAATACAAATCATATATGAAAATCATTACAAGCAATCATTTCCCGACTAATGATATACATGAAAAAATTTCTCGTTTGTGAATGGCTAACAGAAATGCAGTTTTTAGGGGCCGGCCTTTTAACTCTTGTGGGGGGGGGGGGGGGGGGGGGTGTGGGGGGGGGCGTGGGGAGTGTTTTATAAAAAAAAATTCGCTAAAATCGTTTGTTGAAAAAAAAAAATGAGATGAGGCAAAATGTAAAAAAAAGGTTTGTGGAAAAAAAGGGAAAAAAAATCCTGCCCCCCAAATTTCTTAAAAAAAAAATTTTTTATTACCAGAAATCCCCCCCCCCCCCCCCCCAAATGGTCGGCCCCTTAGGTAACACGGTGCAGAAAAAAGTAACAAACGTGACGTTCTGATTGGTTAATAAACAAAGGAACTCGCTGAGAGCCAATCAAATGCGCCCTCTACATGGCGAAAAATTTGAATCCGCTCTGGACCAGTTTTGAGCAAAAACCGCAATGGTTTGCGTTTGTAGCACATTTGTTTTTGCGACCGAAACAACTCTAAAGGAGCTGAAAAACTGTTCTAAAAAGAAAACACTGCGGAAAGCACTGGTTTTTGGCTCTCTTTTTGGAAGCATTGGTGCGTAGAGAAGAAAATTACTGACGAAATAGAAAATTATGAGGCGGGTGAGCTTGACACTTTGCTCGAAGTACACAATGAAAAAGGTGAAGATTATGAACCAGAAAGCCTTAAAGTAATGATGGCATTGATCGATAGACACTTAAAGAACAAAGGCTGCACCCTGTCCATTGTACGTGACCGAGAATCTTAATAGTTCGTCCAAAGAGGTGTTAAAGGACAAAGAGAAACAGCTTCGCTTGGCTGGCCGTGCGTGGTAAGCGCCCAAACAAAACTCGGCAAGTATCAGAGGAGGAAGAAGAAATTCTCTGGAAGAGCGGAAAACTCGAAGGTAGTAACCCAGAATCTTTAATTCAAACAGATTGAACAATTCCATGAACTGTTGAGTCCATCTCTGTGGCTTGCAAACTTTAAAAACATCGAGGAAAATGTTGTTTTGACTACACGTGTGATGATCTTTGTAGAATTTGAACAAATTAGTTTTGTACGTAGTTTACGCGTGTTGACTCTCTATCTGTCTCTCAATTTTTTCATGAATGTTATTAATAAGTAATCACATGATTTTTCTCGTGCAATTTGGAATAAATAAGCACTCGTAAATTTTTTCAAAGACCACAAATTGCACTCGCTCTACGGCCTCCTGCAATTTTGTTAGCCTTTGAAAAAATTTACTCCTGCTTATTTATTCCAAATTGCACTCGAAACCATGTGATTACCTGTACATATTGTGAAGACAAGCAATTGAAAGTTTAGTTTAAGAGCCCAACTTATAAAATTGTCAATTTCAAATATCTCAGAACAGCTCTGTTTGACATGAGCATCACCATCAGCAGTTCTGCCAGCTGCCATCATGATTATAATCATCAACAACATTATTTCATCGCCATCACAATCATCATCATCATCCTCATCGTCATCCCTACTATGATCACTATCATCATCCTCAGTCTCACTTATGGTAAATGTTTTAGGTTGCTTGATAATGTCCTTTTCACCAACAGTGGTCAGTCCTTTGTCAAAGGCATTTGGATGAACATGTAACTGCAGGCCAGAGGCAACTGATTCTTTTTTAGAGCGCTAATTCCTTCATAATACAGTTCCAGGGGGTGCAATGGTTCTAATTATCAGTTTACAGTTACCCTTCATTTTGTTGTGTTTTACTTTCTTGGCCTTTCTCTTGTTTTGCCTCTGTTTCCTACTTTTTGGCAGCGAGTATGTTTCCTTACAGAGTCAAGTGCACTTTTCTTGTAATTAAAGTAACTGAATATTAATTTCCTTCACTTTCTTGTGTAGAAGGGCTACTTCTCCTACTTGATTTTACTTTGCGGGAGGTGGTCGGTAAAGTTTAATATAAATGAACCCTTTTCTATAGCCTGCTGTTTTGTGACTTGTCCCTGGCTGCAGCATCACTTGAAGTGTTCTCCGCTGAAACAACATTGAGAAGTGCAACTTTAGTCGAGAAAATCGTCTGATCTAAGTGATTCTGTCTTTGTTTCTAGTTGTGAGGGAGAGACTGTTATCATCCTATTAAACTAAAAGCTTTCTTTTGTCCTGTTTCTCCAACGGAAGAAACACTTGCATAGGTCAGTTTTAATACAAGGTTGCTTTTTTGAAAGTACTGGATTATTTTTCTTGTACCACTGTATAAGAATTTGGACAAATTATTTATCCAAAGGACGGTCACGGATTTTCAGGACGATTTCCAGGGGAGGGTCGGAACATTTTAATCCCTTACCTTGGGAGGGTCATTTTATTGTCATCGCTTAACTGAAAATCTCCACCTCCTCTCCCCCTGCTAATTTCTGACATGTCCCTAATGGCGGGATATATGTAATATTGTTTATAAAGGTAAAAAGTTTTTGAATTAAATTGCAAATCATTGCGCTTAAGGTTGATTAATTTCCATTTCTACTGCTGAATCATTTTTTGTATCTTCTTGCAAATCTTGTCTGCCAATTTTGTGTGACAATGAGGGAGAAATCTTCATCGCAAAAGCTGAAAAATCTTTCAGTTCTGTCACTCTTTCGTCCGACATTTTTGTCAACTCCCGCATGATTTCAGCTAAATTAAATGAATGTATAAAATTGATGTCAAAATTATGCTGACTAGTAATATCCGCTCTCTCTCCTCTACAGGCCTTGATTTTCTCTACACAGTTATCCAGTCGGTCGTGAAGCTGTTTCAAGTTTTCAGGCATCATAAAATCCTAGTCTTTACCAAACAAAGTGCTTCACTGATTGTCTTACTAAAATTTGTACAGACCGATGACGTTTCATTGAAATTTTCATTGAAGTTAAAACTTTTGTGTCATTACCTAATTGGTTAAAAAAGGGAAAACCCCTTTGTCTAGAATATTCACAACATAGTCAAAACAAGCCGGTGGGCGTTTGCGGCACTGTTATGTAAATTTATTGTATACTTTGGGTAGTTATATAAATATGATTTCTCCGTCAATTCCAAAGTACTTTTTTCCCACATTTCTCCGGTTTTTCTCAGGCGAAGCGAGCTCATAATTTTTTTAATGACTAGGATTAAATGGAAATGTTAGGTTTTCACATCACTTCTTGTTTAAATGGGACATTTAAGTGATGGGGAGGAAAAAGTACAAATAATATCGGTAGTAAGTATTTAATTTTTTTTTCTTTAATTCAAATTAGGATTTATGACGAAAATTGCGTGACGGAAATAATCTGAAAATTTTTGTACTAGGAAAAAAGATTGGTTGATAGAAAAAACCGCAAAAATGAGGGAAAAAAAGTACTTTGGAATTGAGGGAGAAAGCGTATTATTATAACTACTGGAAGTACAACCTACAGCCTTACTCACTGCCAAATTCACTTCATAGGCAATTTTTAAACATTTAGTGTAGACTCCTGTAACAACAACCACATTTCTTATGATCATAGAACAATATATCTCTTAGTTTGCGGGTAATTCATAAGCATACTTGCATATAAACTGTGATCTACATAAATTGGATAATTACATTGAAAATTTGAACTCCTACATAAATTAAAACTTAATAGATCGAGAAAACTACAATGCTGCTGGAGTCTAAATACGGTGTATCTACATTGTGCCGATATAACTTATAATACCGGCACCACAAACTTGTTGAACTGGAACATGAAGAATTAACTGGGCGTGGATCTGGAAGTTCTTCTACAGACTGAGCACGTCTATATATCCGCATGTTCCTCAATGGCACTGATGGGAAATGTGTCCCAGCAAGTAGGGCAGTTGACGAGAAAGCAATCATCCCAGCTGACGATGCTTACGAGACTGCTGCAGTGCTTTTTCCTCTTCCAGAACTAAAATCAGCCTGCCTTCTTAGTGGTAAAGGATGCAATGATGGTTTTAATCAGACTTAGTGAAATCTTCATCATCACTGGAATCTTTAGTGGCACTCTTGGCACTATCACACAACAAATCGTCATCTTCATCAACAGATCGTCGAAGTTCTTTAAATATACCCCCTTCAGGTCGGAGAAAAAGAGTTATTGGTCCATATCCCAATCTAGACTCTCCCTTATACCTCCTCAAAGTAAAGAGTCTCTTAGGGCCTATGCCAGGGATGTGTTTAGCATCACTGCCATCCTTGAAGGCCAGTTTGTACTCAGATTGTGAATGAATAAACCTGCTGTTAATAGAGTATGTTTCTTTACTGCAGCGAGGCGAAAATCTTCGGCAGATGCTGTTGATGGAACCTTCAAGGGCAAGGTTTCTCCTCGTTTGTCCTCCATCACTTCCACGTTGATTCTTACCATTTCATCGTCGAATTTTCTCTTCTTGCGGCCGGCAGGCGTTTTACGAGCAAATAATGTCTTTCTCCTTGACTCTTTTTGAGACTTGAATGTCTGAAAGTTTGGAAGAGAAAACGGTGTCGTAGTTGTTTCACAACGGCCACTGGAAAATGATCTTACACCAGATTCGGGACAGAACTTGAAATGAATGAGAACAGAGTGAACATGAACCCAGTGCATCCATGTTTGATGCTTTGGTTGGCACGGTTCGTGAATTGGGCACGAAAATGATGTATTGCCTTTGTGGGCCACCGAATACCTCAGTTCTTACTACACAAATAGAAACACGTAGTGATTATCGAGAAACTTAATAATTCTGTAATCGATGATAAGTTTGGTAATTCGATTTGTTTATAAAAGGTCTTCCAAAATGGTTTATAAAAGGGTAAGGGATTGGACCTTGGAGCGGGGTTTCCCGTATAAGACTTTGTTGAGTATCCCCCCCCCTCCTTTCCGGGGCTAGTTCCTGTATCACTGACAAATGACATGATGGTCACTTCAGTATTTTAAGTATTTTGTGAAGTTTTGTCATGTAAACCTATGATTGCGTACGGGAAAGAAGAAACACGAACGCATGGTTGGTAAAGGTTCAGAGTAATTCATATTTCCATGACGAAAACCTCGATATTGAAAAAGGAAAATGCCCATTATTGCCTAGCTCACCTCACTAAAACGAGAAAAATATATTTATAAAGACTGAAATATATGATAGTGATAGATTTTTCCAACTCTCTCATTTGAAATTGTCCGGCACTCAGAGGACAGTCGCACAGAATTTTCAAAATACACGGTACCCAGTAGTCTGATTGTTTTCTCGTTTAGATGTATTATGCTAAGAAAGATAAGGGATTTGTGGAAGTAGGGCTAGAACCAGGAATATGGTCGTTTCTTGACGGTTATCACACGCGAAAATTTTGATTTGACCCAGAGAATTTTGAAAATTGTTTCAGGCTTCCGGACATGTAATCACGTGAATGTAGACAGCTGGTAGATTTTTAACGCACGCGCGACCACAAGTATTTGCATAATGGCAAAAAAAGAGAGACTTTTATATCTATAATGTATCATTGCAGGGAGATTCATGTTGGCTGTGGACCGGGCTGTGTATTCCTAAAAGAAGGCCTCTACACCAGACACAATTTTTTCTCGTAGTAAAACTTGAAACGACAAGCCCCGAAAAACCTTACTATTTTCCCCGCCAATTCTTTGTAAAGAAGCAGAAGCGTTCCACATGGGTACCCTTGCAAATGTCGTTTTGTATAGGTTGATTTTTCCCTTGTCCCTCCCTGCCCAGGGGATTTTGAACGTGTGTAGTGACCACACCCCACTCTTTACTGAGAACAAAGGTCATTGGAAGTACACCCAGAGGGAAAGGGAATGGACGGAAGTGCCAGATTTCATTCAATCTTTCGGTTACATTTATCGTCCTCTCGAGGCCGTAGCTCAATGTTTGGAACTATGTTGACGTTTTCAAGGGAAGAGAATCTTCGGTCTCCGCTCAAGCGAAGATTTGGAGTGATTTGTATGGAAAGGTTATTTTTGGAGCTTATTTTTGGACTCTCGCAGCCGAGTTTTCCCTTGTCTTCTTCTTAGTGGGTCGGAAACCAGAACCGGATACTTGCTAAATAACGTTTTTAGTCCGAAAACAGTGCCAAGGAAAACAACACAGAGTCGTGTGTGTACACTTAAATGAATGTTTGTGTCCATTTCAACCTTCTCATGGAACTTACGATATTAAAATTCCCCCCCAAAATCCTCGTAATTTGGCATCGAGGAGGATCATTGTTTTAAACCTTGTCTCCGCCCTGTGGTGACATGTTTACCAAAGGTCTTTGTGATTCCGGAATGCATTGGTAAACCCTGAAGAAGGTTAGTTTAACTGAAATCTTATTAAAGTTTTCAGATGACAAGCGACGTAATATGCTTGCAAAACATAAAATAAAACCCCTTTAGTGCTTAAATTAAGCACCATAACACATAAGAGGGGAAGACCATAGAGAATTTGAAATCCCTTGTATCATCCAGATATCTTACCGAAGACTCGTTCCGCACAAAACTGAGGTCAGGCTCTACTTTCGTTTCGCGTGGTATTTAAAAATAGATTTCCAGCGGGCAAGACGAATGGGAAGGTCTAACATCGAATACAGAAAATGAGATGTGTTTACGAATCAAGGAAACATTGCTCCATGTGCTCATTCAAGTGATTAAGAAAGTGCCGTTGACCACTCCCGCCAAGGACACTTCTGCGGGCTCGCTCGGAATGTCGTAAGGTACTTGCGAGGAGTACAGCAATGACGTTGAAAGAAACAATGATACTTTAATAACAAACCTGATCAAATTCAGTCTTTATAAGCTGTATTATCCATCTTATTACGTCAATTCTCATTTTGAATTCTAACCTTTCAGGCACCTTCTCGGTTAAGTCTACGTGATGATATTTGGAAATAAGTTATTTCAAAATACCATCACGAACATAGTAACGTCAGAAACCGTCCAATCGAAGTTTCCAAAGTAACGACTCCCCAAATATAAAGTTGAGGATTGATGCTCGTCTAATGAACAGTAAAGGTACCTAATGGCTTTTCGGAAAAAGCAGCCTCCCTCCCCTTCCCCCTGGTTAGCGCGGGTTATTGATCAAGAAAATGAAAAATTGCAAATCATGAACACCTGCTCATCACCTGCCAATCAAGCTGCATATGTTATGGTTGTAGGCGGCCTAGAACGTGAAGTAGGACGAAATTTATTTGTTCAGAGTAAACACGTAATATCTCTAATCATTCCCTCAAGAAGGGATGCACATGTGTTCTCACAAGTGGCGAACACCGAAAAAATCTGCTCATCCCTTGGTTACAGCCTAAGGGTAGGAACGATATGAAGTGAGCAGCGCGCTGGTTTTTGGACTTAAATGTAAAATGTCTTGAAAAGTAGGATATTCGCTCGCTGCTTTTTCAGTTTAAAGAGGCGTTGAGACATGAAATTATCGTGCTATATATCTATAGACATAGCCTTATAACGCTTTTAATTTTTCCAATAAAATACTCCACATCTCAAGCCTTAGTGGATAGATCACCCCAGAGTGTTTTAAGGGGGTTGGCCAGGAGGGAGGGGGCGACTCTATTGTTTTCCAATTACGTTTATTGACCCATTCCTCGTGCCAGTGTGACGTCACATAGCAACGGGTAGTGCTTCGCGTCGCTTCTGCAGATTAGCGTGGGACGCCATCGAGGAGAGAACAACGGAGGTCAAGAAAGACAAAACGCTAGGCTAATATCGCTATTGTTCGCTAATTTGATCGTAAGTGTGTGTGCTTTATTGTTGCTTTTATCTGTTTGTTTAAACCTCTAGAGCGTTTTGTGTGCGTAATTGTGTAATTTTTCCCCTTTGTGCCGAGGGCTGTTTGGCGGGACCGCCATCTTTTCTGTGGGATCAGTCAGATCATCATCGATCAGTCACCTTTTTTATCCAAATTACGCAACGGATAGCCTTCAGAATAGGAGGTTTTATTCATCGATTACACTCCTTTAAAATCTGCCTGTTTTTTTACGGATTGGATTAGCCGTTCTTCATATCAATCCGTTCGAGTGTGGGCTTTTGTTGATTTCTTGCTGTTTCTTGATATCTCCCTCCAAATTTCACAGCCCTGACACAGCGGTGGGACTGATTTGTGTCTTTCTAATTACTTACTTTTGTTGAAGGTCAATACTCTTTTGTCTCATTGTTCTTGTGTTGGTTATATTGGTTGCTTGTTATTGAATTTGTTGTCTTTTACGCATATAATCGCTTTTTAAAATAAGCTTACTGATTGTGTGGTGCCTCCAGTGAGGTTAATATTGTTGCGGATCAGGGGTGTTGTTGTTTATATCGTGTGTTGCTGTGCTTGCGTGGCCTTTAAAATTATTTCATTGTTCCTTTCAAAAGCAGCGTGCCTTCGGGAATAAGCTGTATTTGGTGTTCATATTTGGTGAATGTAAATAAAGTCTGGTGTTGAGCACACAAGATCACAACTTAAATTATTCACCAAATATTTGATAATTATTTCCATTAAATAAAGACAAAAATACAAGACAAACGTTTGTAGTAAATGGAAAATACTTAGTTATAATAAGAATAAAGTGTAATAACGATAATAATGAAAAGAAAAGTGACAGATATTAATGGTATAATTAGTATTGTACTGTAAATATAATAAATATTCTGAAGAAAATTAAATTAGAGAAACAAATCATGCTTAAAAAAATGGTACTCTTTGTATTATTGGTAACAACAATTTTGCTGTATGATTTAGTCTTCAACATTAGTTGTTTTTTGCCTGAAAAATTCTGTTTCTTTCTGCATCTTGTGGCATCTGTTTTATATAGTCATGTCATAATGGCTTCTATTTCAGAAGCATTTCCAAAGTTTGCAAGGCTTCCCTACAGACTTTATATCCCTTCAAGTTTCTGCCAAACTCCTGTTAAAAAATGGCATGCTAATGGAGTGGGGCAAGTTTTTGTCACAAAAATTGATTCAAATTTGGGTGTGCTTCAGTGGGCAATGTTACTGTTATTATGCTTGTGTTTGCAACAGTTTAGAACAAGGCATTTCCATCTCATCCTCCTATCGAATGTACTCTATTCGACATTAACTCTGGTTTGTGTTGTAGTTATAGTCATCGTCCTAATGAACTGGAAAGTCATTTGCAACACTTTTTCAAGGCAAATTGCAAAGTACAGCCAAACACTAAATTATTTGCTGGAGATTATTTTCTTTCCTTCCGTTTTTATTATAAAATTGTTTTTACATCTGCTTGAACCTTTTTACGAGACCTGCTTACAGTTCAGGTCAACATCCAAATACTCCCTTGTGCAATATTTTTGGAGTCTAGCATCAAAGGTTTTTCTTTCCACTGTTATGGTGACATGCCTTTTACTGTATTACAGCATCTTGTTTAACATTACAACAATTCAATCTCTGGCAGTGGGAAATTCAATTCCCTTTTACTTAGCAGCCACTGTTCTCCTTTTGATCATATCTGCTCTACCCTATCGATTTCTGGCAGTTTTGTATTTGGTAACTGCAATAACAGTTGGTGAGAGCTTTGATGCTAGTTCCATTCATCCTACAGACACTCCCCTATTGTTCCCTGCTTTGTACCTTTTCCTTGGTATGTTATTAAGCTATTCTTCCCTGAAAATGGTAAAATTTCACCACCCTGGCTTTTTCCTCAGCATGGTGTTCAAGTCAAAAAGGTTTGTTACCTCTATTCTAGTTCTAGATGTAACAGGAAAATCACACTCTTTTTCCTTTGCACCATATGCAACTGTCTTTGACTTGAGATCACAGATGAATTCCAAATTTAACATAACTAGTGATTTATACTGGCTATCAAACAGAGGTAAACCTTTGCATGACTTTGTGTCATTAAAAGAGATATCAGGGGCTGTAATTATGAATGGGCGTTTAACTGGAGGTGCTAAATGTTGCCTTAAGGGGTGTGAAAATGATGCAGGTGCACGCAAATTTGACAGCCTTATTGGCAGATATGAAATTAAGTGTAGCCCTCAAGACCTTATTGGGGACATGGAAAATGTTAAAAATCTCAGGGTGTGTGATAAACACTATGCCAGTTTGGCATCCAGGGGTCATAAGCCTGCAAAAGGTAAAAGTTCATCAAAATCTCGAAGTGATGCCCAGCGTGGCATTCTAAAGGTCACTCCATGCATTGTGCAATGTTCGCAGTGCAGAAATGAAGTCTGCCTTTCCAGTGACGTTCCCTGCAATAAACACAACATAAATGTATTCAATAACTTGTTTGCAGTACCATGCAACTTTCTAGATGAGCAAACTGGAAATAAAACTGATTTTCACAATGACCTTTACCATGCTAAAGATTCAATTGATGAATCTAAAGCAAGCTACATATGTATATCATGTCAGCCCTTCTTTCTGAGATCTCTAAAAATACAGAATGAGTACGAGAAGGCTCAAGCTATGTTTGAAGAAACACAAAAGTGTTCTAATACATCATCTTGGTCTGACCCCGCTATTGAAGCCACACCACAAACAGGGAGCTTCGCTTCCACTCAAATGCCTGATAAACCTGAAACAAAATTTGAGTTGCCCTCAATTTCAAATTTAAAAGTAGGGATTTTTACAAAAGGATTACAACAACTGTTGGAAGACCAAAGACCCATGAAAAATATAGTTGAGGGATGCTATGCCTCTGAAGAAAATTTCTCAGAGTCCTTGCAACCAGATGTATATACAATCTTTCAATCTGTTCTGCATGACATCTTTCCATGGACAGTAACATTTTCAACTTCCAATACAACCGATAAGAGTCTCAAGGTTGTTCTTACAAGGCCAAATATAACAAAAGGTGTTCAAATACCTAGGTGGAAAGAAATAACCTTTTTCCTTCCCTTAAACATGCCAAATGCAACAAATGACATTTGTCATTTCTCAGTTCACATCATGGGAAACAAAGTGGATTATGGGGAACTTCCACAATTCATCTTTCAGCCAAGCATTTTCAAAACTGCCCTACAAAAGATACTGAAAACAATTGATGACTTACCTGTTTGTCCCGGAATAAATGATCCAGCAATAATGGATATTCTTGCCGAAAGAAAAGAACTTACCTCTTTATACCAAATTGACTCTCAGAGTTCAATTGCTGATGGAAAAATTGTTAAATGTATAAGAAGCACTAAGTGTTCTTACATTATACCAAATGAGTCCAAAGTAAGATGTCATGAATGCCAGGGTTTTCTAAGGTCTCACAGGTGTTTGCAAAAACACCCTTCTCCCGAGAGTACACAATCCAAGACAGCTCATGACTCCCATGTTAACCTCAGCAAACTATCTCGTGCTGAACTCATTACCAGGGCAAAAAATCTACACAAAGTGGTTGCCCAAAACCAAAGAAAGGCAAGACGATACTACTTTTTGTATCAGAGAGAAACACCAAAAAAAGTTGAAGCACCCAAAAATTACAACCCAACATCCTCTGGCCTTGGACAACTAATGAACATTGCCTTACAAAACCAGTGGCTTACTGAAAACTCTGTTTTGTATGCCCTCCTGACTGACACTTTAACATCACTCAAGCGTCAGGAGGAGGAATTTTTACGGCATGGAAAGCTAACTAAAAGTAATCAGAAGCCACACCCTAAGGGAATGAGGTATAATCCTCTTGTTATTAAATGGAGCTGTCTGATAGCTAGTAAGTGTCACAAGAGGGGATACGATGTGGTTAGAAGTATTCTGCCTATACCAACCTGGGAGACTATTAAGCAATACAGGCAGGCAGCTAGCACAACAAGCCCCATATCTCACCAAAATCTAGCACACATGCTGCAAGAAATGACAAGAAGGGGTTGTAAAGGAGTCGGGGGTATACACTGGGATGAAATGAGTGTGAAAGAAGGAATAGTACTGTGCAAAAGGACAGGAGAATTAGTTGGCTTTGAGGATTTAAATATTAACTCTGAACTCAATCTCAGTCCACATGATCTTGAAAATGAAGATGACAATGATGAAAACACATCTGAATCAAGTGATTCTGACACTGGTCCCACTGATTCTGACTCCGACACTGATGGAATATTTTCAAATGAGAAACCTACAAATCAATCTAAAAAGGCCAAACTTATTTGCCAGTTTTTCTACTCATCAATAGAGGGGGATTTTTCATGGCCTGTAGCCTCTTTCCCACTACAAAAAATTGACCAAAGAGCTCTTTCTTCTCTGGTTTGGCAAGTATGTGAAGCCATTGGCAGTCTTAATCTGGAAAATGGGAAAAAAATAGAAGTTATATATGGTGTTTCAGATGGTTCCACATATTCACATGCCTTTTTTAGTAGAGCTGGAGCACAGAACTGGGTGACGTATAATCCCTTCAATGACAACAAACCAATTTGGTGGCTTTCAGATTATCCCCATATGATTAAAAAATTGAGAAACTTCATTGTCAATCCTGATGGGCAGTTAGAAAAAGAGGGTAAAAAAATAACAGCTGATCATTTGATACCAGTTGTAAAACGCCAGCTAACCAAGCTAAACTGGAAGCATTTGAAGTTAACACCTAGGACCAAAATGAGTGTCAAAAGGGCTGTCACCCTTTGCTCTGTTGATGTAGCATTAGACATCCTTAAGGGACCTTTACCCCCTGAAGAAACAGTTGCAACACGCAGTTACATAAACCAGTGCTACAAATTATTTAAAATATTTAACAACAATTTAGAGGTGGATCCCAAATGTTACAAAGAACTTTTAAAAATATTGCTCTGGTTTGATAACTGGTACAAAGACACCAAACAGGAAAGCTCAAAAGCAACCAGTGGTTTGAAAAAGCACTGGAAAAAATTCATACCAAGGATCACATTCAAAGACCTAAAGAGAAGCATCAGAGCTTTCCTGGGGGTAGTTCAGTATGTTCAAATGCATCATCCAGAATTACACATCATTCCAAAGACCATGTGCCAGGATGATGTTGAAAATTACTTCTCATTGCAACGTGCAAGAGTGTCAGGAGGAAAACCAACAACATTACAATTTTTTGAGTCATCTGCTTCTTTGGAAACTGAACTACTTCTATCTTCTGAAATGAAAGACACACAAGGAACATGTGGCTCTTATGATATGACAGCCCTTCCTAATCTGGTTTCTCTTCCTCTATCCAAACCAAAACAGATGTCTCCTGATAGTACGACCTATTTCAGTGAAAAAGAAGGATGGGAACTGTATGATGATGAGTTGTTCACTTCTGGTAGTGTAACTGAAGGCACATGGGACTTTGATGAAAACTTCCATGATGCTGCAGATAAACAACAGCTATCTCGACATGTCAAGCAAACCGTTGAATATATTGATCTTTTTTCCCCTGCTACAATACTAGAAACATGCCAACCTATTCTGACTGCCTTACATGCAAATGAAAACCATAATCATGTATTACTGTTTGCAAGGCAACTCGACTACCATCTACGCACTAAGTTTTTTACTGGAAACTGGTCTAATAATTCCCTTCAAGAAGCTATCAATAAACTGAAGGTTGATAGAGAACTTTCTTTGTATTGGAAAAAAACTATTACAGAAGGTTTTAATTCCAGAATCACAAGTAAGACTCTCATGTAAGGTACTTTCGGCTTTTGTGAGAAAATTTACAAAAAGAAGGTGCGTAACATATTTAGCTAGAGATGGTCTTGCACCAAAACATGAAGAGGATGAGTCTGCTGTACGACAAATGCTAAAAAAGTTTAATGAAAAATATAATGCAAACTTGACAGCAAAGGCACAGTCAAGCGATGTTTGTTTTCGGTGCCATAAACAAGGTCACTGGGCAATTGACTGTCCTGAAGGACATGAACCAGAGTGGCTGGCCAAGCAAAATTGCTACTTATGTGGCGAAAAGGGCCACCTTAAAGTAGCTTGTCCAAACAAAATTAAACCTGATGATCAGTTTAAAACAAAACTTAAGCAAAATAAACCCCCAGTAGTGAAGCCTGCATGGTACCAGACTGGTACATCATTAGTAAAATTGCTTGGTAATTTATCTGTGAAGAGCCCTGATGATTTTCAATACTACAAATCAATATCAGCTGAAAATTCGAGTAACTATGATCCCAAATTCTACAAACAAAGATCAGCTGAGTGGTTCAATGCTCGTAAGGGGAAAATCAATGGAAGCAAGGCAGCAACAGCTCTTGGGTGGTATGGGAAAAAGGCCATGAATGATTACTGGAATGATTTATCTAATGATTTACATGGTGTAACTAAAGAAGGAAATGAATCAAATTTGGCAATGTTATGGGGTTCTATCAATGAAGACAGTGCTCTTGTCACCTACCTAAAAAGTTTTTTGGGGAAAAAACCAGATAATGTAATTGTAAGAGAAACTGGAATTTGGCTTTTAAATGACAAGAACAATCAATCATGGCTTGGTTCTTCCCCAGATGGAATCATAGAATTCGATGGGAAAAGGAAAACAGTTCTGGAGATTAAATGTCCTTTCATGGGAGGCAAACCAGTTCCTTACAAAAATGTATGTGTCAACCATATCCCTCAAATCATGCTGGAAATGTTCTGCACATCCACTCAAGAATGTCACTATGTTGTTTGGACTCCTGTTGGCACCAAAGTTTTTCTTGTTGAGAGAGATGACAGTTACATAGAATTGCTTTTAAATTACCTCTACAAATTTTGGAATCTTGCCTGTGATGAGATACAACCTCCATGGCATGAGGATGTCTTTGGTCTCAAACAAAAGAGTAAGGAAATTGCCACAAAAAGTCCCTGTCTTAGTTTTATTCCCAATTCTCTTATTAACCCAAATGTTTTATCTCATAGCGACTTGAAGAACTTTGAGACTATAGACAAACCAGTAAAGCAAAAATGTGTTTCCCGAAAGTGTCAGGGTTGTAAAGATGAAGAATGGCTTTGTAAACTCAACCCATGCGAGGTACGCAAAAAGAGGATAAACAAGTCGCAAGGTGCACAACAACTGTCCTACCAATCTTATAAGTATGGCTCCAATGGAATTCACAACAGCTGTCATCAAGACACTTTCCTTGAAATGACCTATCACGGTTTCAAACGTCACTTTACTTCCCACAATGTAAATATGTCACAAGGTCTTACTGCATTACTTAATTCATTTGTATTAAGAGAAAAAGGAAAATTCCATGACAGTAAAATGTCATTATGGAAGTGGTTAAGGGACAAAACATTAAATGGTCACACATATTATGCCTATGGTAAAGAAGCTGCCCTTGATTCCATCATATACAGACTTCTTGAATCCATGCCTGAAGATCTTCAACAGAAATTTTCACTCAAAACAAATTATTCACAATCATGCAGTTATGACCCAAACCATGATTCATTGCGCACCTTTAGACATAACGTGTTTCCAGTCAGTGCTGATGATGTATTAGACGAACATCTCCTCCAAGATTCCAATGAGTTCGATGTTATTCAGGTGATTAAACACAAACTAACACTAAGGAATTTCATGCCAATATCAAAATGCTCTGTTCTGATACAAAATGATCAGAGTAATGCCATTGACTCAGACTGTGCTATAATAAGTGATCCTAAGACTTGTGGGGCAATGTTACAACAATCAACAACTGTACTCAACCAACCTGACATATTTTTTGTTGGGTACACAGGAAATTCTTCAAAAGGGTACACTCCAAACTTGGACAAAGAAAACACAATTGATATCAACGGCTGTATGTATAAATTGACTGGTATTGTCTACCTGAAATCACATCACTACTGGTGTGAAGTGTATTCTTCTCAAAAAAATTACAAAAATGGTTGGTTTGTTTACAATGGTCTATGGAATAATGGAAAAGCAACCTTTGTTGGCTCCAAACCATTATTTCTTGAAAAGGAGAGTTTGTATCTTTTAATGTTTGAGAAAGTTGCCACGCAACACACAAATTGTACCAATGGAGTCACATTTCAGCAACTAAATACTTTGAATGATAATCAAGTAATAAAACGTATAATTGAAGATCACAAAAACTTGCTGATGTTAAAAGACAACAAGGCTAGCCTTACAAACATTAAAGCCATTCTTCAACATTACAGCATCTCTACACAATCAAACCAGAAAATAGCTGACCTAAAAGAACTTTTACTGAAACAATGCAACTCATTTTCAAGTGTACCTATAACTTTTGTTCCTGATTGTAGTGTTGAGAATTACATTGAGGCTCCTGAAAGGAACCACTCTAATTTACCTCATAAACAACTGAATGACTTTGTCCCTGTAACATTTGTCAATGACTCTATGATTAACATGGTAAAAACACAAGAAACTGTAACTGAAACTGCAGGCATCAAACGTCTCAACTTAACACCAGTGAAACATGGCTATACACCTGAAAGACATCCCACAAAAAAACAAAAAGGGAGTAAGCCAACACATGACCCACCAAGAAAACTGAAAATTAGTGTGAGAGATGAAGCTACTGAAGATCTATCCTTTAAGCAATCACCAGAAATTAAATCATTTAAGGAAATGGTTGCTGCCCTACAAAAGGACACATTGTCCTCTAGTGATAGTGAAGAAGAATTTGAAAGTGATTTTAAACTGTTAGACAGTTCAGAAGATTTATTTTTCCAAAAATTTGATGAGCCCACTGAAAATGAAAAGCAAAAGATGTGTGCCAAATCTTACATGTCTGATTTGTTTGACCAAACATATGATTATCAAATGGTAAAAACAACAGAATTGTGGGAGTACAGAGAATTTGACAGATCACTGACACCAAAGCTGGGAAATGATTTGAATCACTTGGAGCAAGTCAGGCGTTTCATTTTGAAGAAGGGATTTCAAGAGCCCCTGATTATTTCCTGTGACCTGCACACTGGCTGTGCTTATTTGACTGAGGGGAACCATCGCCTCTGGGTGGCACTGAGAGAAAAAATCCCTTTTGTACCCTGCCGTGTGATTCCTCAATGGCTGCCACCCAATGGATCATTTAAAAATGTCAATGTAGATCTTACAATATTACAGTCTAAGAAAGTCATACTTCCAGAGCATTTAGGACTAACAGTCTTCAACGCCAAGCAAGTTCAGTCATAAATCCATGACTCCCAAACAAAAATCCTGGGGTAACAAGCTTTTTATGTGACAATCTGAAGAACAACCCTCATTCTGCTTTACTGGTAATTTGCCACTGAATTGTCCTGAATGGGTTTTGATGTCCTAGACCGCAGAGTTTAAAACACTGTTAACAATTTCACTAATAAGCTTCTTGAACAGGGTGTCTTTAAATGCCCCCGTTAATAATGAATTTCATTGACTCCAAGACACAAGACAATACTAGTTGCTCGTGGAAAGGCATTTTCAATAGCCCGCTTAGTTAATTTTGGTAACAATAATATGCACAAAGCTGCATAGACCCAGACGTGCTTTACACAAAACTAATAATTTAACAAAACTGTTTTCCTTCGGGAATAAGTTAGAAAATTACAGGAGTATTCCCTACACAGGGAAATGCATTGAAACAAAAAGATATTAACACTCACCTCTCTTCCGCACTGCTGCTAAACGAACTTTGAAGGGATTGATATGATGAACCATCAACAATGAAGACCTGAGATTAAACGTACTCAAAGCCTGGTATGTCCTTAGATGAACCTCCTATTGCTGAGTTGAGACACCATAACATCGCTGTGCACTGGCCCTCGAAAGTGTGACCGGTAGATATGACTGCTCGACATTCATGCTCGACGATCGAGAGGAATCTTAAAAAATCATAACACCTCTGAAGCTTTCATCCAAAATAAGTACAATAAACCGGTTTTCTATTTCAATGGGAATCTTAATATCACCAAATCTAAGAATACGAATCAAGATAAGCGTAAGGAATTCCATTATTTTATCCTCCTCATCGACAACGACTTTGCCCGCCATTTTGAAAAGTCACCGAAGCGAGACATGACGTCATACTGGCATGAGGACTGAACCACCGATTTCCTTGGAGACGCCCCCTCCCTCCTGTCCTACCCCGAATTGTCACAATCCTCATTTCCAGTTTGGGTTGAGAAAATAGAGAGGCGATGAACAGAAGTATATAGATGATTAGAAATATTAATAGCATGTGTCAAGACGCAGGCTCGACTAACACTTCCTCTGAAAAGAGTATTTAGTATATGCACAGCGAGGTGGAAATAAATGGATTGATTACAGGAAGAAGCAGACATGGAAGACATTTTTTTAAAATTTATCTCGCCCATTTTTGGCCATCATAAGCGAGAACATGACCTTCATCTTGTGTACCTTTTTTCCATGGTTGTTTTCTTCTTTCAAGTTCATTGTATGAAAGAAAAAATAACCTTTCAAGCGGAGACCCTTGGTCTTGGTTAGCCTGCCAGCAAGTTCTCCATTTGGGGGAGTTGCGAGAGGTCACGCAAGAGCTTCACGCGAAACGACACGCGTGTGCAAAGGGCAGGGAAAATCTTTTCCACCACCCCTCTGCGGCTTCGCCGCTCGCTGGCGCGTTCTCTCGCAATTCTGTTCGCTGGCCTCTGGATATGGAGAGCTTGCTCGCACGCTAGGTCTTGGTTCAATATTTTACCTTAATGGTTTGAAACAGTGACGTTTTAGCGCGTGAACGAAAGGCGAAGCTACGAGGGAACCAGGGAAAATTTCCTCGCTCGTTCGCGGGCACGTTTCCCAAAAAAACTGTAATACAAACATTGATCCATACATCATCTTTATGGGCTCCATACGGCATCACCTTCATTTAAACCTCGGATTTAAAGGGTAGCTGTAAGAGCTAATGTCTCCGAGAAAGAAAAAAATAATGATACCCGAAAGGACCGTCAGAAAATAGAAACTAACATAGCGCACAACTTTTTCTGCTCCCTAGCTTTAACGGACTTTAATAACCATCTTATTTCAACTGTAGTAGAGGAAAAAACTGAACGATTTTACTTTTATGGCGGTGTTTGAACATATATACGTTTTAGCTGCAAATGTGTAAGTCTGTTAGCTACATAGATAAAAGAGTTATTCTTAGATATTTTTGTGAAATCACCCAACCCCTCCTTCCTAAAGTTAAGCAGAGATTTGTGGATTTCCTTGCAATGGTATAAATTTTATTGGTTTAAAGTTCATTGTTTATTATTTTAAGTATATAAACGGAAGTTTCGCTTTTAGTCTTGGCTAAATCTAATACGCTTATTTATCTCTTATTACAAGTTACATCTTCCTCTTTCAGCACTAACATTCTCGTGTTACCCTGTTTCCATACAAGCTGTTAAAGCAAGTTGATTTTGATGTTCCTCTGACAATCTTACTGACTTCAAAAAGATCACCAGGAGTAAAGAGCAGAGTAAGATTGTGCTGCGCTCCACGACCGACTTGAGTTCCGCCCCGACAGACTTAAAGTTTATATAGGAGAGACAACAAAGATAGTCTGATTCAGATAGCAGGGTGTAGCTTTTTGCCATGAGCTACTTAATTTTCATCTTGTTGGCATAGAGGCTATTTTTTAAGCAGAATTTTCGTATTTCCTCGCCTGTCTGACTGTCTATAGCTTGTATTCTTGATAAACCGAAAATTTGTTACGAATCTTTATTCTTCTCATATCGCTTGTCATGACCCTTGAGTTCCTAAAACGAACACATTGTTTTGTCAAAATAAGGTGCTAGGAAACTACACCTCAAAGCTGCATGAAGCCCTATGAGATAAATCACCAAATTAACTGTCCTGTTTCACTCAGGGACTTGCCGACAAAAGAAAAGCACCCAAGAGTGATGGGAACCGGAAACTGATAATTCAATTCATCCGCGACTTTCAAACAGTGGGAGACTCTTCGTTGACGGGCATTTTATTATCCGACGTTTCATGTGATGAGAGCATTTTATGGTAATCAAGGTCATTAATTTGCGTAACACGGCCGGGGAACTTCAATCCAGCGGTTTAGTGATGCCTTTTATGAAATTGCATAAGATTGCATTGCATAAGTGCATAAGTGCATAAGTTGGGCCGTGAGGTAACTGTGTACGAAGTTGAGAGTGCAAGTTAAAACGAATCACAAAATTGCAAAAGTGATTGTGTTTTTGGATCATGACAAAGCTACAGACAATAACAAGACCGATGAGTTTAGGAACAGAAAAGAGGGAATCTTGCGTCATACAGACTCCAAAAGACTGGGGATAATAGAAGAGTGTTTAGGGAACCAGCTTTGTAACAGCAACAGCAACAGTAAATAGTAATGTCTTCTTCTATGCCGTACAAACACAGGTACTCCAAGCTCTAGAGTGAGAATCGTTGTTGCGTAACAGAAATATTATAAGGGTTTGTATGGGGATTTAAGCGATCGTTATTTAGGGGTTAAAAATAGTAATAAAAATACAAAGCATCGTCGACGCGATGGAAGAGAGTCGTTGTTTTGGCGAGCTGATATTCGCGCTCTGCTGTCGGTTTTGTCCAATAAAGAAAAGGAGTAGTTAGAGGAGGATTGTGACTTGCCTTGGGTAAAATCTGGAGGCGATTGAAGTATTTGGAGGGAATTTACACAGGGTCCAGAGGAGTTTCGTGTGAATAAATGAATTACTTATTTCGAGTCTCACCTTGAAAAATGTCTGAACCTGTCGCTTTAATAGCACGATTGATTAGCCCAATGGGATCTTAATGAATCTACTGTAAACGATTTCTTCGCTTCTTATCTGACCAGATCGACTTTACAAGCGACTAAATACAGGAATGGCTTCGACCTGTAATTGGAGGATAAAAATAGTTAATAATTAATAAGTTAAAGGTTAACTTTCAGCCACGCGTCACACTGGACAACGATATCACTAAGGTCGTTGTGATGTGTGACTTCTGTTTCGTCTTACGCAGTGAAAGAAGCAAGAAGTCGATGTATGAACCTTAAAATGTCACTTACATAGGCAGAACCTTTTTCTAGTGTTAAACAGTACCGATAGAGATGGGAAATTGTCACAGCGTTGGCGAACAGCGTTCAGTTCGGACTCAAACAATCGGAGCTATTCCTGTATTTAAACCGCTGACGGGTCAATGTACAGGAACAGGAGCCTATCGAATGGCTCCGATCTGCATAAAGAGAGACTTGTCACATGATGGTGTGTGGTGTGGGAGCGGGGGTAGGGGGGGGGGGGGGTGGGGGGGGGGGGGGGGGGGGGGGGGGGGGGGGGTGTTGGTGGGGTCTGGGCGATCATGACCAGATGATATAAAGAAAAAAAACAAAGAGCAATCACCGAAAAAAAACATTCAAAAAAGTCGATAAAGGAACTAGACTTGCTTTAAAACTTTAAAACAGATCATTTAAAAACAAACCCGTATTGCTAATCACCAGCGACAGTCAGATAAGTAATCAGTAATGATCAAGCAAGTCTAGTTCCTTTATCGACTTTTTTATTTGAGTTGATTTTGAATGTTTTTTTTCGGTGATTGCTCTTTATTTTTTTTCTTTATATCATCTAGTCATGATCGCCCAGACCCCACCAACACCCCCCCCTACCCCCGCTCCCACACCACACACCATCATGTGACAAGTCTCTCTTTATGCAGATCGGAGCCATTCCTGTACATTGACCCGTCAGCGGTTTAAATACAGGAATAGCTCCGATTGTTTGAGTCCGAACTGAACGCTGTTCGCCAACACTGTGACAATTTCCCATCTCTGTTGGTACTGTTTAACACTAGAAAAAGGTTCTGCCGATGTAAGTGAAATTTTAAGGTGCATACATCGACTTCTTGCTTCTTTCACTGCGTAAGACGAAACAGAAGTCACACATCACAACGACGTTAGTGATATCGTTGTCCAGTGTGATGCGTGGCTGAAAGTTAAGCTTTAATTTATTAATTACTAACTATTTTTATCCTCCAATTACAGGTCGGAGCCATTCCTGTATTTAGTCGCTCGTATCGACTTTGTTGTTCGCCATTTTGAAAATCAATAACTGCAAGCCGTATCCTCGCTGGCGCACGGAACATCGCCCGAAGGGTGACCGAAGGCTGTCGCCCGAAGTGCGACCGAGGTACGAAGTGCCGAGTAAAAGCCGATCTTGCGAACCCTCAGTCTCTTGGTTTGCGGTCTATAGAATGTGTAACGAAACTGTAACGCGATCAAACTAACCCATTTTTTCAGAGGTTTTCGACGGGTTTTGATGTTCTAACGACACTTGAAACACATCTCCTCTGGACCCTGTGGAATTTACGGCTGATTTCCCTCGATTGATATGCGACCCCGCTGCAAGTAACCAATCTTGGGGAATTTTGTGTATAACGAACAACGACAGAACTAAAACTCTTTGGAATCGCCCTAAAACGGCCAAAAATGCTAAGAAAACACCATAAATTTTGACAAGGACACAAGGAGAGAAATTCTGAAGTATCCTTATCGTCCTTATTACATTTTGAACTTATTACTATTTCTTTTACGCTGTGGCTATATGGGCGGTTACCGGTCAAGGTGTTAAAAACACTAAATGACCGGCAGTCCCATATTCTCGGTAAATTTCACAAAATCGAAGGATTCTAGCTAATCTAAACTATCATATGTCGACTAAGACAAGTCCAGCGATCCTGAAATGCCTTTTAGATCTCAAGTCTAGTGTTTGGTTTACGCTGGGCTCAGAAGACGAAACCGTGTTTTGTGACACTTAAATAGTACTTTTTTCAGCTCGTTCTGCAGGTCAAGGTTTGCAAAACACTAAATGGCCGGCAGCTAGTCCTATATTCGCAAAAAAAATTCACAAAATCGAAAGATTCTAGCTAATCTAAACTATCATATGTCGATTAAGACAAGTCAAGCGATCCTGAAATGCTTTATAGATCTCAAGTCTAGTGTTTTCCAGAAGCAGTAGACCCAACTAACTCGTGGAGACTTTTCCGGCCGGTTTTCCGCGGAGGCCGTTATGACGTCAAACGTCGCCTGTCACGCCATGCTTTGGGTAGGAAAAAAAGTAACGAACATCCAAAGACTCGAGACCAACAAAAACATGATATAGAAATCCCACAAAACCGACTGCTTTGATCAGGATCACGATTTATGATAGTTCAGAACGGCTGAATTTTTTCAATTTGTGAAATTTACTGATAATATGGGACTGCCGGCCATTTGGTGTTTTGAAAACCTTGACCGGCAGTCGAGCTGAAAAAAGGTGCTAAGTGTCACAAAACCCGCACAAAACACGGTTTCGTCTTCTGAGCCCAGCGTAAACTAAACACTAGACTTGAGATCTATAAAGCATTTCAGGATCACTTGACTTGTCTTAAATATGATAGTTTAGATTAGCTAGAATCTTTCCATTTTGTGAAATTTACAGTAATTTACTTACCACAGGTGACGCGTGACCTTTTTGCTGGACAAAGTCTCTTATTTTCAACGGTCGCCTGTAACGCGACACCGGCGCGTCCATCACGCGTCACCTACACCCTTTTTTTACGTGAGTTTGGTTGGCCTGTGGTTACATCGCACTAAAAGAGAGGAGATAAAATGTTATCAGTTCCCGGTCGCTGAGCTAAGAGAGGGCTGTGAGGCTTTTTATTCGCGAAATATAAACTTTAGGAAATTTACAGTTTTACCCCCCACCCCCTGCCAGTGAAAGTCATAGTCCATGGTCCATATGTAACTGATGTAACACTGCGGTGAAAAAGTGATGAAGTACATTCTAGCCCCGGGGGGTAATCCCTTATATAAGCCATATACTGTAGGTATTTGCCGCTCCATAGAGTAGGGTTTTTGCGCCGTTTTGGTCCCGGGTTTTGGTCTGAAAACGGGTATAGACTTCGCCCACTTAGGACTGATATCGGGTATTGTTTTAGAGGGAACTACTGAGGTGTATGAAGGTATTTATCGTTTCAATTCCAAATGAGTAAGAAAGAAAGAGAAATGTCCGAACTCGAAATGGATTTTAAGAAATCCTTTTTCTTGGTGTTCCAATCTTAGTAATGGTGACAGTTTCTTAGAAGCTGAGTCTGAACATGGTTGTGAAAAATGACATTTTTTAATCTGAAATAGGGTCAGGATTTGGAGAACCGGGCGGCACACCCCCACCGAGAATTCGCAGGAGTACCTCCCCCGGGATTTTAACATGTACCTTACCTGAGAAAACGTAGACGGCAAAGAAGTCCGCATTTTTGTGTATTCAAGTACGCGCGAAATGTGTGTGACCGTCTATCGCCGTGTTCACATCCTTTTCGCGGTTAGTATTAATTTTCGTGCAATCAGTAATTCCAATTTTCTACTTTTTGATATTTCAAACGGATCAAAAATAAAATCTGAAATCCGGTTTGGAACTGACTTCACTGACCCTGGATTGAATTCGATTTTAAGTAAATGGGTGGTTTCAGGGAAACGAAAAAAAAGTAAAGACTAGGAACTGGAAAACAGTTACGATCCATGCACAATGCTACAATGATAATGATAATATATATAGAATAATCAGAGATATACCTATATTTGACTTATTTCTCACCGTTTCTTGGTGGAGAAGGTATTAAAAGAGAACGCGAAGAAGAAAATACACATTGACTGCAGTGAAAAGATCTAAGTATACAGTAGTCACAGTCAACTCAGCAAAAGCCTGAACAGAATTGTTTTCTGCTTTTAACCTTTTCTTGTGGGCGCTGTTGCAGTGAGTAGGTGTTTCATAGTTTGTACCCGTTCCCCGTTCCCCATTCCCCATTCCCATTTCCCGATTCCCCGTTCCTTGTTTTAAAGATAGCCTTTTTAAAAATAGCCGTCTGTAAAGGGCATTTTATTAACAAAAACCAATGTTGATACGCTTGGTCGTTTCCGTGCACCCCCTGAGCCGGCTGTTTTAATAACAGAGATAACCGGCGGAAATACCAGTATTTCTTGTTTGACCTCGTTGATGGACATTGAATAAAAACGACAGAACATTTATTTTCCAAAGGGAATATGTAAACAGTTACATTGGCGATGAATTTTGTCTCAGCAAACCTTTGTAAACAGGACTAAACTGACTAAAGATTCGTTGAAATTAAGGATTCAGAGAAAGACACGAATTCCTAGTCTATCCACAGGTGGCTCAAATTAGAAAAATACGCAAAGATCAATTTGAAATTGATCTCTTCAAAGACTGATTTTTTTTAAATCTGTCCCGCTGCTTTTTAAGTTGTTACGAAATTTCACACCTCAAGACAGATCCTCTAACACAGAGGCGCAAAGGATTATTTAACAGTTTGAAATCTTGTAAGGTTTTTTAATTTATTCTTTCGAAATTGTGAACACTTTTACAGTGACTAAATTGCACCAATTACGATTGGCCTTGATTTCCTCGCGCGCGGCTCGCGGCGCCCTACGCGAGTTAATATCGATCACGTTTTACGTCTCATGTGGGCGGGAGCCGAAAGCTCCTTGAGATTACAAAATTCGAATTCCCCAAAAGATCTCACGTCGCTGTTGCGCACATCGTTTAGGTTAGTTTAACATCTTGTGTAAAACAGACCATTTGTCTAAAATAAAGCCATTATTTGACAACTGTTAATGCTTTGGATCACGCAAAGTCCAGTGTATTGAATTTTTTTTACCGCCCCCAAAAACGTAAGCCGCTGACCTTAATGACCCAAGGCATTTTCGCGGTCGTTTTTAGTGAAGTATCACAGGGGGCATTCAATCAGTTGGACACGTACCGCGTAGTACACACACAAGACCTGGACAGCGTCGCGAATGAATAGTTTGATACGAATACTAGTTTAGGACAAGAGAAGTTTAACTTTTGCGAAATATTTAAACGACCAACGATGTCTTCCACTGGTGGAAGTAGTATGAATTATTTAGAAGCGAGTTCTCCATACAATGGTTGTACTGGTAGCCTTCGCAGTTGCAACTCGACCTCGTCACTGTATCCGCCGTCTTTTAGTGGTTCCGAACAAGTTTACATCAACGATGCCTATGATTATGGAGAGAGCAGCGGTGTAAGTTCCTGTTCAAGTCACGATTACGAAGATTTACAAAGTGTCAGAACAGAGGCTAAAAGCATTTCTGGTCCGAGAAAAAAGACAAACGAGCTTTACGAATCAACAGGAAACTCGAACCCCAGAAAGAAGATAAATGATGTCTATGAGCCTAGTAGGCCACGGCGCGAGAGACAAATAACTGAATGTTCAGACATTTCAACTGCCTCGTCTACTTTGAGTGACGCTCTCCCATCCAAACATGATACCTGCCTCAGCAAACTGATCCTTTTTCTTATTCTTGCGATCTCTGTGTCTTCATTGATTTTAGTTGGTCTTCTTATGACTGGCAAAGTTTGTCCTAATTGTGGATGCTCACAAGGTATGTCCTTCTTGGAGGAGTCTTATTAAGTTATTGATAGACAGTGTATTTTCACACATATTATTTTCGAAAGTACTATTCTTTAGTCCAAAAGAAATCCTAAAAAAGAATCGCACGTTTGCGTGTAATCATGCTTTGTTATGCTCTGTGATCTTAAAGCAATCTGCGGTTCCAATTTCATTGAAGTGCATACTAACACGTACAAAGTTGTTCTGCGTAGTGTCAAGACTCTGGTGTTATGATTTATATCCAAGCTTGGTTGAAGTCTGAAATGAATGGCTCAGTAGTCCGCGTGAATTTACTCATCCATTCATGAACTTATTCATTGATTCGTTGATTCATTCATTCAGAAGGAATTCGCAAATGTCAATAACGTGCAAGGGATGCTATTTGCGATAGCAAGCCACCGGAAGTATTTGATGAAATGGAACCAACATTCTCACGAATTGCCTTAGAACGGATAAAAGAAAGAAATAACAGAATTTTAATTTCAAATTACTTACTGTGTTAATCACTGCGCCGTCTAAAAGTAAACCTCCTTTCTCCTTCTTCCTTTGCCCATCTTCTAGATGAAAATTGCCTCATCCGAAGCTTTTCAATCTTGTGAATCGTCTCGTTACTACATGGGAATCTGAATTGTAAAATTCTATTTGTACTTTTTCAAATGCTTTGTTTAATCCGTGCTTCAAAGACGAGCAAAATGGAATCTTTTGGGCATGTAAAAGGGGAGTTGGTCTTCAAGGTCCTGACACTTAAAATTCTGTTACGTCAAGGGAAGCTAATTGGTCGGTAATATATTGAGTATGGACTATAATTCTTGTTAACGTGAAAAGAGAAAGTATTTGGTATCTAGAAATCCATTGAAAATCAAGAGAAAAATCCATTATTTATCAGATATCGTGATCCTACTGAGTAAAAGAAATGACCCGTCGATTTTTTTCGCAACGAGGTCACATGTTTAGAATATATGTTATGACCGCATCCGCCGATCACTTGCAAGCACTCCGGGAAACTTCAAACACCTCGGCTTGGGTGGCGTTCTATTTCTGACGCTATGTCCGTGCCATTTTTTTGCCACACAAAGACCTTTTTACTGTGGTTAATCAGAGATTGTTTACAGTAGGATTAGAGTATTTATTTATTCTCCCTGTCGACCTAATAACAGGTTTTTTGGCATGAATAAATGATTTTAATCATTTTTCCTTCTATCTTACTAGTAGATGTCTGCATACTTTTGTTTATCAGCGATTTATTATTAAGTCGGTCGTTAATTTTTTTGGCGGCAAAGTTTTGGCGGGAATGTCGTGCACGTTGTGACTGTGTGAATGATTTGGAAAGTTAATTATGTTGTTAATTTTACTGATGTCAGTTGTTTTTAGTGTCCTCAAACTTTTTTGCGCTCCATTTCCAAAGAGAATCTTAACGAACTGCTCGTCGTGTTGTTTTGTTTTTTGACTGTAAAGAGTGACTCTGTTTTCAAGTGTTGAACAGGTTTAGTTACTCTCATTACACATAGATGCTTACATCTCACACGCAAATTTCCGAGTTTCCCTGAAAGCGTTTTCCGGGGTCCTGTGGGTTGGAATGGAGAATGTTTATTGTAGCATTTCTGGTATTGATTTCACTCAACAGAGAAGAATCTTCCCGCCCCAGTCGCTGGAGGTAGTGTATCCGTCCAAAGTCTGTTGAGGCAAATTGAAGTCTTGAAAAGTGATCTGCAGAGAATGCAACAAAAAATGGTAAAGCTCTTTTCGTAGAAATTCTTTTAACAAGCACCTTCACTGGGTGGAGAGGATGGCGGGGAAAGTAAAGCACATAAGATGTAATTCAAACCCACAGAATGCAACAGTATTCTGTTTCTAGTAAATACGAATCGTGTGTGGCCTGGCGTCTGTCTGCATACCGTTGAAAACTAATCAAAAAGCCGAAAGGAGAGTTGTCATTAACCTTGTTGTAAATTGCAAGTAGCGTAACTAGTTCTTTACACTGGGTCTCTTGTAAACGGCGACTTTGAACACAGGCCGACCAGCCTTTTTTACGTGTGGTTCTCGTCGTTTACTTCTACCCCCGGTCGAATGACTACATTGCAAAATAAGAAAAAAATCTTCTTAATTGATTTCATGAACGGCAACAGCTACACTCATAAAGGTTGGTCTGCCTGTGGTTTGAAATGTGGACTTGTAAATGAGTCCTTCAGGCATTCGTTCGTGAGTATGCTAAGTTTTAAGTTAAAAACGTGACTGCAAATTCGAGCTCATTAAATACCGTGTCCAAATCCACTGCCGATGGAAACTACCCTGTAAGCAGAAGCACTTCGATTTTCTTAAGTAAGTCCTTTTCACGACTCATCCTAGGAAGATCGAAGGACCTTTGCTCGCTAGGTTGGTGGAAGCTGACAGCAAACGTCAGTATATTCTTAGGATTTGCAACGCTTTTATGAGCCATCCGTCGGTTCAATGTAATACGAAAAAGTCGCATTCTTATATGACAGCTTTCGGTACACTTGCAGTCTTCACATCTAATGGCGCCACTTGTTAGAAACATCTTGTGTACCCTTTTTTGTAAAACTGTGATATTATAAGTGCTATTATAGCTGTAATAACTAAACTATAAGAAAAACCCTTGTTTATTATAATTTTTTTGACCCCCCCTTTGAGTTTTGTTGATTTTTATTTTGTAGGATGATGGAGATAAAGCCGTGAAAATTTTCTTTGCAAAGAATGAAAACAAGGTTAGTTTCATATTTGGTTTATCGTTATCACTCTTGACCTCAGTGAAAAACAAACCATTCTCGAAATTTAAACTACGCTGGGAAAACGCAACTTCAGTACAAACTTCCACTTTGTTTATAAATAAACGGGAATATGACGGTTAACCATGTATATGACCCTCTGGAAATATCAAGGCCCCCAGTAACAATCAGTCGGCTCTGCTACACGCTTTGAAGTAAAGAACTGGTAGCATTTCAAATAGCTTTTGCCAAACTTGTTTTGGTTTATCGTAAACGACCCTCTCCTTCTTGCCGGGTGTTGACGATTTTTTGTTTTTATAGGAATAATTCGCTGTAAATCAAACTGGTTCAGCTTCTAGTGTGTTTCATTTCAGTTAGATTAAGTTAAATCTGAATTCTCTTTACCTTTCTTGAACTTTTTTTTTAACAGATGGAATTTCTTCAGACGCAACTTTCTGCACAAAATAGGACTGTCAACGAAACAGCAGGCAAGGTAAGCATTCCAACGCAGAGGTGCGACTTGCAGTAGCGATACAGTTGCATAGATTAAAAAAGGGGGCAGGGATGTTGAAACTGCCTGCTTTTGCCAAAGATGTTCAATGAACATCAAGGGTTCTCACTTGGAAGCAATTTTTGTTCCTTTGCTATTTTTTGTTATCAATGAATGTAATCTACATTCTCCCTCTGATTTTCCTACATTATATTTGTTTTAAGTGGCTTCAAAATAGGTGATTGATTTTTGTTTATATTGTTACAGGTAGAATTTCTTCAAGCGCAACTTTCTACACAACGTCTGATTATCAATGAAACTGCAGACAAGGTAAGCGGTCATAGATCGTTATCAGCGATAAGCGCCCAAATGATGATGAAGCAGAATATTTATACTAGTGTATTAACGTGGCAAAGGCTTACTTTGCGAACCAAATTGAACACAATTGACTTATCCAAACTGATTACGTAATCACTTCTTTTTCATTTCTAATTGACATATCAGATGGTGTCTGCTGTGAATGGTGTGTGGGTAAACATGTCCAGTGCCGACAAAACTATGGAGAACAAGCTTGTCACTGGGCTCAAAGTGCTCAAAACATCGATAAAATCCCTTAATCAGAGCGATGGCAAATTAATCTCAGAAGTGAATGAGCTGACACGAAATCAGATGGATACGAGAGGAATGAACAAGAGACTGTGGCAGAATGTAACACAGCTGGAATCACGTGTCCAGGAACTAGGAAGATCAACCCGGAATATAAGTAGAAGAGTTTGGAATCTGAAGCGAGGCTACACCCAGATGAACACTTTAATGAAAAGAATTCAAGCAGTTAACGAAGCACAGAACTTATCACATACATCACTGCAGACCGTGGTCAAACGCTTGAATGGTTCCCTGATAAACGTTAATGCAACATTGTACAATAAGGTAAGTTTTAATGGCTGATACGCCTTGTAACAGACTAACAACGCGTTTATTCATTCTGTCATTCATATTTTCTTTCTTTCGTTATTACGTTGTCATTTGTAAATTATTTAAAGAGAAATATATCACCAAAGAATCAAACCATGATGTTTCTCGGTAGACGTTTTTGTTTCAACACAACTGCAGTGAAATATTAAAAGGTGCGTCTGGCAGGGAATATGTACACTAATTAAATTTGAACAAAATGGAAATTTTAAACTTTTGAGTATGGTTGGAGTGCTTTTTTTGCAAATTATTCAGTGGAGGTGCTTGAAGTTATAACTTAAAGTTGCCTTTTTGGTAATTTTCTTTTTTTTCTTTTTTAATGCTGAAGACGTCTGTTTCCAGTGCCGGCAATGCAGGAATAGATATCAGCAAATGTAAGCTCGAGAGAAAAACTGGAGCACCAGGATCGACAGGATCGACCGAAGCGGAAAAAAAAACGGCTTACTCTGAAGCAGATTACACCAAACAGACGGTAAGTACACACCTGCATTGGCTTTCTGTGAAATTCAGAGACTATTGTTTGCGTTATGATGAGAATAAATAGGGTCACCTTTGATTGCCCTCGTATTGTTTCATGGTGTTTTGCTCCTCAACCTCTTTAAAATAACACGGTGTATTTTCATGGAAGAATTAAGATTAGATGTCCAATCTAGATCTCATGATTTCGTTACTACGAAAAAAAATGAGAATTCAGAGAATGGTTATTAGACGAAAGACATGGAAACTCAGAAACTGAATTATTCACCAAGACAACACCAGGTGGGATTTCGTGGAAAGCGGACAGAACATGGTGGAACTCTTGATCACTTGTCAGATGATCTCCTCGACTGATAGCTCATTTAATATGCAAAATAACCCTCTTTGGCCCACCAGCGGGGAGAAAACGATAAAATATGAGCCACGACTAATTTGTTCCTGTCCATTTTAATTTTCTTTGTGCTTAATTTAACGAACGATTCTTCTTTTCGCTTCTCTAACAGAATAAACGCATTATGGGAATGACATGCTCTACAGATTATGCAAGAGAGTACAAGCTGAAGTATTATCCACAAAGATCGTTGTACAAGTGTCAATGTAATGGCGTATCCTTTGCTACGCCCAACGAAAAAACGATAACATGTTTCTTATATGTGTGGGAATGTCCGATGAGCTGAATTGATTGACCAGTCTAAGGGACGCTCACCGTTTCCACTTCCAAGAATCAAGTCTCACCTGAAACCTGTCTTAAAAATTGTGGAAAAGGACACCCACGCTCCTCCATCCCGCTCACCGTGTCGCCCAGTGTCTCGGCCTCCACCTCTGCTAGTTTGTCAGCCAGTGTGACGACCACTGCCTGCGACAGTTTTGCTTTGTCAAAGCACGCTTATGATCGAAGTCAAGTTAATTGGAATTCAAATTATTTAGAAGCAGTCAATTGAAACCTATTTAATGCGTAGTATTGTATTTTCAGCAACGAAGACATTCCAAAATCACTTCGTTTTTTACTTTTTTGTTACTAAAAGGCTTCAATTTAAAAGTTTAAATAAGTTATTTCTTTGGGGGAGGTATATTGATTTTATTTTCTCATGAAACTGAAAGGAATAGCTAGGATAAGGCAGCTGATAATCTCTTCAGAATGGAGTATATAGTGCTTGTTTTTGTTTTTGTTTTTTCTTTTTCACTATATCATACTTAATTTCAAACATAGGACGAACATCCGTCCATTCACAAGAATTTGCCCGTTTTACAGAGAAATTGACAAAATGCCTTCATCGACGAAGCTTCATAGAGCGGATCACATGAAAAAAGTCGACGGTTCAACTTGATCGAGAACAGAAGTAGCGATGAAAAAAGAAATTATTTGAAAAAAGTGGCATTTAAAAGGCCATATTTAATATTACCTCTTTGCCTAATAAGGAAGTGTGGAGAGATTTTAATGTAGATTAACGTTTATTAATATGGGTATACATAATCGTTATTTCTCATAAATTTCTTAATTTTACAGAATAGCATTGATAACGACACATAATTCTTCAGTTTAAATTAAATCATTAGTTCTGTGATATATTCCTTTATAAATGGCTTATAGTTACTTAAATTTAGGAATTTATTTTTTTAATGTAGCCTGCATTCTTGAAAACTTTCGAACCAGTATGTTGATGTTTGGACAAAATAGAAAGAGCACAAATGTACTCGACAGCAACTCATTAATGTACAATCAGTCAGAACTAGTTTATGAGTATTATCGCTGGAATTAATTCACGGATATTTTCTTGTACATAAGTTGATAATTGTCGAAATTACTATATCAGCGTGATTGTGATAACAAAAAGTTTCGTCTTGGGATATTTGTATCTGATATTCAGGAATATTATCGTAGACTCAAATTTGATGTTATTATAATTTGTACAGTTTACTTAACTATTAAAAATAATACTTCCACAGTTTCTATATCTTCTATCAAATAAGTTTGGATGTAATAATAGATTTTAATGAACAAAACTACAGGCGACTTCTTAGTTAAATAAAATCTAAACGATCAGTCGGGTACTTTGTGCGCACACATGCAAAATTGCATTCATGACCCGCATTCCCGGATTAGTCTTTCCAGTCTTTGGCATTTAAACCTTACAATCAAATGAGGCGTTGACCAATTACACTAACGGCAAGAAAAAAAAACCTATTAACTAAGCACTTTAGATCTCCACGAATTCATTCAGTATTTAACGACCGCTTTTCGTTTATGTCATTTTCAGCGTTACGGTTTTATCGCATACAAAGGTCTATCGCCGTCCGTTTAGCTCTGTTTGAAGATTGCCAGTCTGCTGAGCGGGAGGGCTATGTCTAACCCCTGTCGGACCAGCAACCAAGGCCCAAGAATCACCCCCTCGCAGCCTCGCAGGCCGCTGTTATGCATAATCCGATTACTAGAAAGTTGGTGAGCGTCTCTCTCCTCCTCAGAGGCTCCGCAGAGGTCTCTTTGTGTTGTAGGGAAGCTGGGGAGAAAGAAAAAGAAAGCGCGCGGGGTCCTCCTCATCCCATCGTCCACCCCGCGCTTTCTATTTTTCGATTATTGCTAATTTTATTGGGATACCCAGCGGGAGCCTTTGCTAAAGAGAGAGAGTGGGCGTTACTAAAAAAAAAACGAGATTTTAAAGCAGACGCTCACTTTCCTTCTTTCAGTCTTTCTCCCTTTCCCCTTCCCCGCCTCCTTCCACGCAGGCTATTCAGATGGTCGCATCATTGGGCGGTGACGTAAGGCCGTTTACCTTGTCTCCTTCATCGTTACACATCTGATCCCAAATCTCTATCCAGTGGATAGTGCAATTGGTTTCCCTAATAGTTTTCCACTGGATATTGATTAATCCGGTGGATAGCGCTATCCAGAGTTTGAACAACTGGGGTCAGCTGTAAGGGGACGTAAGAGACCACGTGACCTCGCGAGATTTAGTCACTTTTGCGACAAATGGCAAAAGTGAATTTGTACCACGTGACCAAGTTTTTCCTCCATTTGTCTCTTACTCACATTTGTCTTTATACACAACACGTTGCTGATTGACCAGAGGTGGTTTAGCCTCTGTAATTTTGATCTCATCGGCAATTTTTTGTACTCATAAAAACTGGTCGCAGATCACTAAACCACGTCAGTGAATTGCCTAACAAATAAGGACGCGTCCTGCCAAAACACGCTTCCCGGCTGTACTCGTAGCCTCCCACGTAGGGGTGGTTATTAACAGCATAATACCACAGGTAGCCCAAGCTCGAAATATGAGCATCGGCGAGCATCGGCATATATTGTTGCGTAACATTCAAAATATAAGGATTTGTATGGGAAAAAAACCTATCGTTTCTGTAACCTACGAAAATGAAAGGATTTCAATAAAAAACAGCTTACCTTACTTAAAATGTGTGTTACGTCTCTCCTGTGTGGTCCACGGGCCGATTTATAGCCGTTTTATGGGTTTTTATGTAAACGGTTTTCTCTCTATGCTTTCTTTGATTTTTCCTTCACTACAGAAAGTCTTTGCTAGAAGGTAAATCAAAATAAAACGCATATATGGCAAAGCCAGTCTTAGGCAAATCCGTGCGCTCTGATTGGTTCTTTCTCGGTTGGGATTTTGCAGTACGGACCGTTTCCATGAAAACGGTCGAAGGGTCCAAGCCATGTAGCTTTGTTTTGGAGCAAAGCCGGCAAATTCAAAATTTGCAACCAAAACAGCCAAAAAATGTGAATATTGTCATTCTTCATCGCGAAACTACCAGAAAAAAGCTAAAAACATTGAAATTTTACTGAGATTTCAAAGATGGATGAAGAAGACGAATATTCTCCGAGCGAGGTCAGTATTATCCTGAACATCTGGAGCTTTTGATTTAGAAACTGAAACGGGCATCTCCGAAAGCCAGGAGGCTATAGACGATTTTATCAATCAACAGAAAAGTGCAAATACAAACAAGAAAAAGGTTACTGATATGATTACTCTTCTCCGCTACATTGAAGCTAATGGTGTGAAAAATGAGAAAATTGAAAGCTTACCTGCGTCCGAGCTTGACCACTATTTGTCGAAATTTGTTTGAACGGACGGTGGAAAAACGGAGAAGAATAAGAGCCAGCGACAGTCTCCAGTTTTCAGCCCAGTATAAGCTTACGGCGATAGTTAGAAAAAATATCCGTTTACCACATCCAAGGACAATGAGTTCGAAAAATCCAGAAAAGTCCTTGCAGCGAAGCGAAAGTCACTTGTTCTGACACAAGCACGGCAAAGGAAACAAACCGCAAGCTGCTGAGGAAATCGACGAAGACGAAGAGGATATCCTTTTTTAATAATGAATTCAGTGACCCCAATCCAGTTGCGCTTCAAAGAACTGTGAGGTAGTTTTTATACAACACTTCGGTCTCCACCGCTCCAGTTTTTACAGGTGCAAACATAGGATCCATCAGCGGTGGGTGCACATTCTTAATATTTCATGGTAATGTGAAAAATGTCCAGAATGAAAGGACAGCTATGAGGACGATTGACTTTGAAGCTATTTTTGTCAGCGATGTCCAGTTTGGAATTAATTTTCACATCTTCGAACTTAGAGCCTGTTTACATGAAAGTGGGTGATCCCAGATAAGTGAGGTAACCGCTGAGGTGGGGTAAAAAAATAACCCTCCTTTACATGCAATCTTACAACCCCGCCATCCCGGGGTACAATTTCTCAAGACTACTGAATGGCTAAGTACGTAAACAAGAAAAAAGCTGGCAAACTACGTTTTTTGGTGATTAATGCTATTCTACACTCACTTGCTGCTCTTGCTGCAACCTTCAGTGCTGTGGCTTTATATTGTTACCTTTAATAATGATACAAAACTACTGCCAAAGTGAATTTTACGCGAATTCAGTATCGCGAATCCGACCTCGGCTAGGTGGGTCACCCCACCTTGAAACGTTTACATGGCAAAATTTGACCCCGGCTGAGAGGGCTACCTGGTCAGGCAGACCGAGCTACCCGCCTTGGCGGGTCACCCCACCTATCATGTAAACGTGATCAAATTAAAATGAGAGATAAAATGGACAGGCGGGTTACCCCACCTAAGCGAGTTACCTCAACTACCTGTCTCCCACCCGGCCATGTAAACAGGCCCTTAGACTTTCACTTGACGCTGACTTGATACATTTTTCATATTTTGTAATCAAGAAAGTATTGTTTGATCGACAGAAAACCCTTTCTCGAATTTTAGAATCAACAATTGCTTTTGTCAGATTCCTTTACAAGGCGTTTTTTAAGCTAATTTAAGACGATTTCACATCAATGAATTTGTTTTTCCGAACTCTTGGTAGCTTGCATTTTTTGCTTTGTCGCTGCGCACGGTCCGTACTGCCACGACCAAGGGCCAATTATTCCCCAATACCGCTCGAGCAAGCTGGGTTAGTAAGCGGTAAATGTTCTTTTCAATCTTAACCTCTCAGGTATCCTTTCTGCAGCTCTTTTTCCCATATAATGAATCAGGATTCAATTTCATAGCAAACACCACGCCATGGTTTTAAAAACATGTTATCTGGAATGATTGAAGTACACATATGATGAAAGTATGATGTGATCTCAAACTGGTCAAATAAAACTATAATTATTATAATAGGTCATATTTTGTAGTTCAGATAGCTGGCATATACTCTTGGATAGTTACTTATGGCAATTTTATCAAAGTATATATGTTTGAAAGCAATCTTTATGGTAAAATATAGACTGGAAACGACTGAAAAGGGGAACTAATCAAAATTCTCTCTTTCTTTTAAGAAACCGTTGGTTGTCGGTTATTATTAATAATACATGTTTCATCTTATTTAGTTTTTAAATAATATAAAATCGTCCTTTGTTTCTGCCAGGTTTCGGCCACTCTATTAATAAAGCTGAAATTCTCTGAGAAAAAAATGTTTTTATTAGAAGGGTTTTCTTTCAGGGCGGTTTAGAAAATGAGAATACATAATTATTTTTTTCTTTCATTTTAGTCTCCAGTTCAAGATCTTCGATTTTGAAGATCATCGAAAAGCCATTTGGTAACTTATTTAGTCTTCTATCAATCTTTTTTAATTTCGAGCAGTGCTTTTACTTCTTTTAATGCCGAATGTTTGTACTTTTAATTTAAGCGACTAGTCATAAACCATTAATCTCCTATGTCTGATTCCATGATCAATTTTATCCACACATTTTTAACACTTCTATCGTCTTGTCTATTTTTTGTCTTATCCTTTTGTTAGAACTGTAAAAAATTTCCAAGGTAAACCTTTACAGCGTCATGCCAGTGAATTCAGTGAATAAAAAATGAAATAAATCTAACTAAAGCAAAGATTCTGGTACATGAATTGTTGCCACGAAAGGGGCGTACATAATTTTATCTACCACTCGTTCAAATTTGTATCTAGGAAATTATAATTCGCATTCAAAACATCCAAGACAAACAAACACCGTTATTGTTTTAGAATAATAAGTATTCGAAATAGACGAGTGATTGTAGCTGAGCGTCGGCAGAGAAGTATCTGTTATCATGGCAGCATGTAAGGCAAAAGCACTTTCAGTAAGTATTGAAATTGATTTATTTTCGACTTTTATTTCAGACGAAAAAAGCTGGAATAATTTGCAAAAAAGAAAAGTAGATTAATTCTCAAAGTAATTTCATTCCGTTCAAAAATATTCTACACGCCTTTTTAATATTTAAGACTGAAGACGTCACTGGGGACTAACCACTTTTTAAACAGGACTCCGGCTTCTCTTGAAATGCCGCCATTGTTTCAATTCATTTTTTGCTTTGTTATTGCGCTTTTAGAAAGATCAAGAAGTCTGTGAACTTTAAGATATTTATAAAGGGACTGAGTGTCGAGTATTAAATATGAGCAGAGACACTGTGAAACAGGTGAATATTACTTTATTGCTTTGATTTAACCGCTAACAGTACCATGCCATTAGGCGATACACCGCTTTGTTACTTTGCTATTATTGCCAACCATGTAG